GGCTGAACCTGCTGCTGCTGCTGCACTTGTTGCTGAACCTGCTGCTGCTGCACCTGCTGCTGTAAGACAAACACACAAATACAATAACATTACAGGTGAATCGCTGGAATGTAGGCGTTATGTGAAATGTGCAGTATCCCACAATGTAGGTAGGGCTGGGCTATGTGACCTAAAATCAAAACCTCGATTAATTGAACACTTTACCTCGATTACGATTATTGAATGGTTTTTTATTTATTTTTTTCGGTCCTCATAGTTCATTAAAGGTTTGTACTGTAGATATACTCAACTATTAAGGGTGGGATATTTTTTTCTAATGAAAGAGTGCATTTCTTATCTTTGTGATTTTAAAATAATTGAAGGAAACAAAAGTATTTGTGGTTATTTGTTGAATATTTCAAACAATTAAAATCAAAGCTTGCTTGAAATGAAGATGTCTAATGAAAAAAATCACATTTCAGTTTTATTGTAAAAAGCAAGTTTCCTAAAAAAAAAAGAAAAAAAAAGAAAATTTTTTTGCAAACAAAATAAATGAATATTGCCATGCCAAAAGTAGAAAATAACAATTATCTCTTGCAAACAAAATACATTTTAAATACTGTCATGCGATAAGTAGAAAATGACTTGTATCTCTTGTAAATGAATATTATTTTAAATAATGCAATGTGAAAAACTGAAAATAATAACTTGCATCTCCTGTAAATAAATGTTTTAAATACTGAATGTAAATAGAGCACTGCTGATTAAGAGAAAGAGCAGGGCACCATCTCAGTGATCTTGTCCTGTCATGCTATATGTGCAAGTATTTACTCTAGGTTCTTACTGGCCGTTCACACACAACACGTCTTTGCATCTAAACCCGCGATACGCAGTGCTCAGTAATGGTTTAAAAAGAAAAAAGCGCAGCACAGAACATATCTATGGTGCAGAATGCCTACTCCACCATGTTGCCGTTAAATACAAAATGGGGCATGCTAACTTGCTACTGTAAACAAAAGCTCACAACGCTTGCCCCGCCTCCGGGGTCTTCTGATTGGTCCACTGTTTTGGAACTGACATTGATGAGCGGCGCTGCGTGTAAAAGTTTAAATATTTTTAACACACCACTCACGTGTGAGACGCTGCAAAAGACGCGAGCGCAGCGGTCATACACAAACGTATAGCGCCGACTACACAGGCGGTAGTACGTTTTTAAGGGGAAAGTATTAACAGGATTAAAAACTGAAATAACCGACATGGGAAAATTATGTTGGTTTCGATTTCTTTTCGATTAATCGTCCAGCCCTACCACAATGCATTGGGGTGTGTGGTGTACGTACTCGGAGAGCTGGATGCTGTCTGATCAGCTGCTGCTGTTGCTGCTGCTGCTGCTGCTCCATCATCTGATTGGGCCTCATGCTGGGGTGCATGCCCTGTGCTCCCAAGTGACCTTGACCCAGGCCGTGCATCATAGACTGCTGCATGGACTGATGGGAAAACCTGAAAGATGGTGAAAGTTGAGCTGATTTGTTTTACACTCCTTCAAAGTAGGGTTGTGCAGTATAACGTTACTAAATGGGTATGGGGTAACACTTTAGATTAAATGTGCAGTATGTAATATTGGTAACTAGTGGTTGAAATAGGTACTGCAGTCCAAATTCAAAACATTGGAGTGAGTTGGTTCTCCCACCCCACCCACATGTAAATATTTTCAAAATATATACTGCATGTGTGTGTATTTATATACAGTGGGTACGGAAAGTATTCAGACCCCCTTAAATTTTTCACTCTTTGTTATATTGCAGCCATTTGCTAAAATCATTTAAGTTAATTTTTTTTCCTCATTAATGTACACACAGCACCCCATATTGAAATACTTTCCGTACCCACTGTATATACATAATAAATAAACACCACACACGCATATATATTGTAAACAAAAACTTTTATTTTGGATGCGATTAATCGCGATTAATTGTTTGACAGCACTAATAATAATATAATAAATCAGGAAACTAGATGAGGTAAAATAAACCATGTGTAAGAGTTGAATTTCTATTGATTTGTGGTGCAATAATTCTAATGATATTTCTCAAATGACAACAATCATGATCGGTAATCGCAAATTAATTTTAATTATAATTTTGAGCTTAGACTTTTAGGGTGGGTTGCACCAACAAGGATTAAATTAAGCAAAGTTTAGAGCTAATCAAGGATTTGTTGATCTGGGTTTTATTTTAAATCGAGTTGTGTTGCACCACTTAATTTCAAACTTAGATTAACAAATCAGGGATTCGAATTCTAACCTGCGATTAAAACCTCCATCTACGAATAATTTTCCCTGCCATGATGGATTCGTCATGTAATTAAACAGCAACAATGCTAATATTCCTTATCCTCTGTCTCTGACATAAGTTGCTTTTGTCGATAAAGGAAATAAACTTGTAAAAGGTCCACCGTCTTTATAAACCGCTAACGTACGTAGAGAGACCGTTGATCAAACGGCTGATCAAGCAAGCAATCAAAACTTTGAGGCAGTGCATACGGATTTCATAATATTGGAAATATATTTATAGTATAAATTAATGGAGTATAGCGTACAACAAAACAATAGAGATAAGAGAAAATAACTGGCATGATTACCAGTGACTACCTCCGCTCGTGACAGTGTGACAGCGCTCCGTTTGATCGCCGTTCAACAGCACGCGTGGAGCGAACGTGAGAAACGAGAGGCGCGGCCGCGATCCTGTCTTCTTTTCTTTGTCGTAAGGCGAGATGCACCGAGATAAGTGATGGATTCACATACCGGACTCAATAGCAGACGCAAGTTTACTATAGGCTGCAACGACCCTCAAAATCTGCTGGCTCAGTGTGCTTTAATTTTCATTTTTATTTATAATAAACACCTCTCTGAGACCTGACGACACACCCGCTGTTTCTGGCTTTGTTCAATCAGCCATATAATTTTAACTGTAGGTGCACTTTATTTTCTTTAAACCTCCTCACCTGTAAATTTAAAATTAATCCCTAATTGAGATTTAAATCTGAGTTTAAAGTTATGGAGCAACATGATTAAAGTTAATCTATCTTAAATATAAATTAAATCCAGGATCAAGATGATGGTTTAAATGTAAACCTGTTTATTTTTTAAACAAGGTTTAAAGTTTGGTGCAACAGAGTTATTAGATAAACCTTGATTTAATCTAGATTTTAGATTAATCCTTATTGGTGCAACCCACACTTAGTCAACTAAAACTTGAAAAAAAGGGGATAAAGACTAAATGTATTACAATTAAAAAGGACATGGCAAAGGAAAAATACTATATGTGACCCTGGAGCACAAAAGCAGTCTTAAGTCGCTGGGGTATATTTGTAGCAATAGCCAACAATACATTGTATGGGTCAAAATTATTGATTTTTCTTTTATGCCAAAAATCATTAGGATATTAAGTACAGATCATGTTCCATGAAGATATTTAGTAAATGTCCTACTGTAAATATATAAAAACGTAATTTTTGATTAGTAATATGCATTGCTAAGAACTTCATTTGGACAACTTTAAAGGCGATTTTCTCAGTATTTAGATTTTTTTGCACCCTCAGATTCCAGATTTTCAAATAGTTGTATCTCAGCCAAATATTGTCCTATCCTAACAAACCATACATCAATGGAAAGCTTATTTATTCAGCTTTCAGATAAATTCAGATCAGCTTATTCGAAAAATTGACCCTTATGACTGGTTTTGTGGTCCAGGGTCACATATATTAAAAAAAAGATAAAAAAAAAAAACAGCTGACAAAATGAACACTACATTTAGCCAATCGGATTATTTTAGGCGAGGTGCTAGGACCAGGACTCAGCCAGGCAGTTTTGTCTGTGACTGACCTTTGCGTGTTCTGCATTGTGTGTGCGTATGCTGCAGGAGCCTGCTGATGGACGTAGCCACTAGGCCTCTGCTGCATTTGCCTAAGAGAGTCCACCATGGCTGGGTTTGTGCCAGGATGTCCCCCCTGGAAGCCCTGGTTACCGTACGAGGCAGGAACTATTCCTCCGGGCTGAGAGGTGTGCGGCTGCATCCCCATGTGTGAGCCGTACGAGGTGTAGCCCTGGGAAATATTCTGAAGAGAGAAACATGGGCTGTTATCTCCGGGTTTCAGTGAATGCTGAACAAATCAACACTGCAAATTTGCTTATACTTGCCTGTGTCAGCTGCATTGATGGATACTGTTGATTAGGTGCCACTTGTCTAATCTGCTGTCCAAGTAAATGATTATGATTCTAGATAAGTGCAAACAGAGCATTAAAAAAAACATGAATGCCTTCCATTTCCTGAAAATGATCATCCAACCTTTCTGAATTAAACATTCACAAACCACTAGGAGACAAAACAAAAACAAAAAAGCTCAGATGGTGCTTGCCCATGGTAACACATCTCCATGATGGTCTACATCAGTGGTTTTCAAACTTTACGTGGGACCCATTTTTTCCTTCGTTAACTGAGGTGACCCATATATGCAAGCTTGTTTCTACCACTGAATAAAAAAAAAAAAAGGTAGCTGCGACTTTGTCTCACAATTAACTTTTTTTCCCTAAAATGTGCGATATAAACTCGCAGTTGTGAGTTATAAAGTGAGAATTGCTTGTTAGAATGTTAGAACTGCGATATATAAACATGGAATTCTGAGAAATAAAGTCAGAATTATGAAATACGTATAACACCATTTTAAGAAATTAGTCTTATTCCTCAGAATTAGACTCGCAATTGCAAGTTTCTTTCAATTCTGAGAAAAGGTCAAAACTGTGAAAAACTCCAAATCTCTCACATTTCAGAATTTATATTCTAAGGGGGAAAAAATTGCTATAAAGCTGCAATTCTGTGTTATAAAGTTAGAATTGTGATATAAAAAACAAGTAATTCCAAGACATAAAGTCAGAATTGTGAGATATAAACTTATAAAATAAGTTAAGAAAAATAGTCTTTTTTCCCTCAGAACTGGACTCACAATTATGAGTTTCTCACAATTCTGAGAAAAAAAGTCAAAATTGTGAGTAAAAAGTCAGAACTACGATATAAACTGGCAATTGCAAGAAAAAAGTCAATTTATATCTCGCATTTATATCATGTAATTGAGAAAAAAAAGTCAGAATTGTGAGATAAAAAGGTTGCAACTCAATTATTTTTATTTAGTGGCTTAAATGGACTGCCATATCCACATATTCAAACCATTTACATACAATCAAGTCAAGCCATAATAATACTTGATGCCAAGTCTGCGGTTTTACACTATTTGGATGGAAGGGACCCCCAGTGGAGGGGAAAACCTCAGAAAATACACAATTGTGACCCTGGACCACAAAACCAGTCTTAAGTCGCTGGGGTATATTTGTAGCAATAGCCAACAATACATTGTATGGGTCAAAATTATTGATTTTTTTATGCCAAAAATCATTAGGATATTAAATAAAGATCATGTTCCATGAAGATATTTTGTAAATTTCATACTGTAAATATATCAAAACTTAATTTTTGTTTAGTAATATGCATTGCTAAGAACTTCATTTGGACAACTTTAAAGGTGATTTTCTCAATATTTAGATTTTTTTGCACCCTCAGATTCCAGATTTTCAAATAGTTGTATCTCAGCCAAATATTGTCCTCTCCTAACAAACCATACATCAATGGAAAGCTTATTTATTCAGCTTTCAGATGCTATATAAGCCTCAATTTCAGGAAATCGATCCTTATGACTGGTTTTGTGGTCCAGGGTCACAGTTGTGCTAGTTCTGATTAGCACTTGGGCTGGTTTTGTTTTGCAGACCTGGCAACCCTGTTATTTTATCACCATTTGTTGTTTGCTTGTGGTATTTGAAGCAAGGTTTGGACCCGGAAATGGTGACGCATGATGTCAGACTTCTCCAAATCAAGTCATTAGTACTAAAAATGTGTGGGGCCTCTGCAGTACATGTTTGCCTGAGCAAGCACCACTCATTACAGGACGTGTAATAAAATGACAAAGCAGATGAACGAATCAGACAAAATAGAAGGAAGGAAACCATGTGTGCTTTTGGTCTGGGGTCTTGATCAGTAAAACCAGACTCACCAGTCTGACCTGTAGCTGATGACGGAGAATCTGCCCCTGAGGCATGCTCTGAGGGGGCTTGTAGCCCATCTGGAACTGCTTGTCCATTCCCATCATGTTGCCCATGCCAGCACCCGGCATATTAGCCATGCTGTAGGCGGGACGTGGAGGAATTTTGCCCATAGGACCCCTGGGACGGAAAGGGGGCTCTAAACCGGGGCCTCCTTAGGGGGTAAAAATACGGGGGAAAAAAGCATAAAAGACAAGTAAAAAAAAATAATAGATGATGTCCTACATGCATATCATGATGCTAAAATTACTGAAACAACTGCTTTATGAGGTTAAACAGTAGAAGAGGTTAAAAGGCATGCACTGACCTGGTGGCAGAGGCTGGTTTTGGGCATACATGTTCATTGGAGCCTGGTAGCCCATCCGGAAAGACATGTTTGACTGGCTCATGTTCATCAGATCAGGAGCCATGCCCGGCGTGTACTGCATGACTGGGTTGTGCGGCTTGTAGTCCTAAACCACAGGAAATTATGGAAAACTTGATTTGATGACTTTTTAACTCTTTCGCATTCCGCCATTGACAGAATTTTCCAGCTTTGCGTGTGTTCACGGTTATACAGCAGGAGGCGCTATTTCACATCTTCTGAAAGAATATTCCCCTTGACCAAATACCAGGAAATGTGCCATATAAGTAGTCAAGTGGTCAAGTGCAAAAAAAAAAAAAGAATGCATGAAGCTAGAATCATTTGTTTGTTTGTTTGTTTAAAAGCAGATGCTCTGTTCTCTCTTTTGACATATTGCATGTTCAGATATTTATGGGTCAAAGACATTAAGATGTCCGTATCAAAAGAAATTTACAAAAGTGATTATGTCCATAGAAAGCACATTAAATGTAAGTAAAGTGTCTACTTTTAAGGTTTCAAATAAGTTTTTGGAGAATAAAATGTTAAAATTTGGTTGAAATAATGTTACAGCCATTCAGTGTAACACAATATTTATGTAAAAATTCAAACAACATGCTTATTCTGACGTGTACATATTAAAATATATAAAAGAATAAGGAAGCATATTCAATTTTATTGTGTTTTGAATGAGTAAAAATTCTTACTGACAAATGGGCAAAACCTAGGATAGTGGCAAATTTAAAAAATGTACTAATTAGTATTTGGGGTGAAAGTAATTAGTCTTTTAATATGTCATAAATTGATTTTTGTTGTAAATATGCCTGACAAGATTGTTACACTGAATGACATTTTACGCCAGGTAGTAACTGCGCTGTTTGGGCTTTATGTGAGTGTGGTAAAGCAGGAGCCGCTGCTGCTCCTCATATTTCGTGACTTTGCGGTCGACCCGCACGGTCCCAAACCAGCCCCAGGACAACGGAGCAGAGTACTTCAGGCCCTCGAACACGTCCCAAGGAGAAATCTTCTGCTTAGTCGACACCTGAAGACCCTGTATGCCAGAAATCACAGTGCAAAGGTAAGCGAATGGCCAAAAGCTGAGCAGTGCTACAACACTGATAAGCTGCTACGTACCTCTTTTTCGAATCCAGCAATTTTGTTGCCCTTTGTGTCAATGAGTGACCCCTGGGGCTCACAGGTGATGACGTCACGCGTCTGCTTGGGTAGAGGCAGCAACTGACGCACTTTCTCCAAGCTCTCGGACTGACGCTCACCAAGCTCTTTCTGCAGGGCAAAGCATTTCCAGAAGAAAAGTGAGTGCCACTTGCCTGTGCAAAATCACTGCCATGATGATAAACTGTTGCTTATTACAGTTGCTGTAAGTTCTGAGGGGTTCTGTGCAGTTTTAGGTACACTACCATTTAAAAGATTTGTGGTCAGTAAGATGCTTTTGAAAGAAAGCATTCACCAAGACTGCATTTATTAAAATACAGTAAAAACAGTAAAATATTATTGCAATTCAAAATAACTGTTTTCTATCTGAATATATCTTAAATGCAATGCAAAGCTGAATTTCCAGCATCATTACTCCAGTCTTCAGTGTCACATGATCCTTCAGAAATCACTAATATGCTGATTTGCTGCTCAAGAAGCATTTCTGATTATTATCCGTTGAAAAAAAGTTGTGCTGCTTAAGATTTCTGTGGAAGCCATAATAAAAAAAGGCAAATATTTTTTCAGGATACTTTGATGAATAGAAAGCTCAAAAGAACAACACTTACCTGAAATTATTATAAATGTCTGTTACCTTTGAGCAATTTAATCCATCTTTGCTGACTAATATGACAGCTTTTTAGTGCCACATAAACAATAAAAAAAAAAATAATCTAACATTACGAGATTAAAGTCGTAAGATTTTGAGAATAAGGTCTTAATACTTTAAGAAAGTCATAGCAATATGAATCTAAAGGAGTAACATTTTAAGAAAACAGACGTGTCATTTTGAGAATAATGTAATATTTTGAGAATAAAGTCATATCATTATGGGATTAAAGTCATAACATTTTAAGAATAAAGTCAGCATTATGAGAATAAAGTCATAATATTTTGAGAATAATGTTGGAATATTTTAAGAATAAAGTCATAGCATTATGTGATTAAATGTGTAGTACTTTAAGAATAAAGTTATAACATTTTAAGAATAAAGTCATAGCATTATGAGATTAAAATCATATAGTCATAGCAATACAAGATTAACCACCATAATATTTTAAGTATAAAGTAGAATATTGTGTGAATAAGGTTAATTTGTGTGACATTTGCACCACCTACTCCACAAAAAAATGTCTGTAATGTCCAACCTTTCATTCTTCACATGTATTTAACATTAAAAACAGGAATAAAAACAAAGGTTAAACTCGTTCATTTAAGTTACATTGTTGTCGTTTGCCGAGGTAAATAACGTTACGTGACTATTCATATGCTGTTTTATAGACATATAAATGATTGGAAATAATATTTCACATCTTCATGTGCATTAATTATTTATAGCACACCAGCCACCCAATAATCGCAATAAGCTTTGCACTTTAATATAACACAAAGTCTCAGCTTTCAAATTCTCTGCGCTCCTTACTGACTTGACTAAGTAAAGCCTATTCCGGTTTTCTAAGCAGTGTCAGTATGTCTCAGTCTCACCCTGAGCTTCTTGACCAGGTTCATGTAGGCCCTCTTATTCTCCTCCATGCTGCCCTGAGAGATGCTGGACATGTCAGCCGCCAGAGTGCCGTTAATCAACACGCTCAGCATGTCTAACACCGTAGTGAAGAGCTCACTAATGGAAAACAACAAACATCATTCAAATTAGACAGAATGGCAAAGGTTGATCAGAGACTGAATGGGGTGTGTGTCAGATCTCACTTGTTAGACTGCATGTCCACTGTGCCACTGCTGATGATGTCCAGCAGAAGCACCGCCCACTCCGTCGTCTGCTGTGTACTTCGCTGCACCGTATCAAACATCCCACCCACCTATAGACCACGTGACACAAAATAACAAATGAGCTCAGTGCAGTTTAGCCACATCTTGGAAGGGTTGGGTATCATTTGAATTTTATTGATTCCGATTCCGATTCTTATCAATTCCTAGTTTCGATTCCAATACGATAAAAAAATCCAATATAAAAAAAAAAAAAGAAGTCAAACATTTATAAGTCAAATATTTATTCTGTGTCTTTTTGCAAAGCATTCTGTTGCAGCTGAATAACATGAGCAAACACCAGCAGCCTACAGAACACTTACAAGAGGAACTTGTGCCTATGCTTTCAACAAAATACCACAGCAAAAACAACTAGACTTGTATACATTTCAAATATTCGAGTGTCAAAGACAAGTAAACAGTCAGTAATAAAATAGGAACAAACAAATCAATTAGCATTAGCACAAATAAATACAACTGAACCAAATGTCAGGTACAGAAACTAATTAAAAGCTTAAAGTATAGTTTTCTTTTCATAAATAAAATCTAGATTAATTGAAGTTATTAAAGGTATTCAGTCAAGATCAGTGAATGATTTTTTTTTGTTCTTTGATTAAAACATTATTGACAGGCAGCGCGTTTATTAGGCTGCTGTTTCTTTAACACCGAACGCACACAGATCTGAAAATACTGTAGAAGTGAGTTTTCTTGCTCATCTGTTTACGTTCACTTAAGACAAAAACGGTTGTGTTTATGATGATGTACTGACGTAGTTTTCTGCATACTGGTCGATAAATATGAAAGAAGTCATATTGAGTCAGTGGAAATGCACAGAACGATTCGAGAACGGACACAAACCGGGAACGCTGCACGCAAACAAGGCGCACGTTCTTTCCGTTCCTGCACTTTAAATCACATTTAAATGCAAATGCAGGAATCGTTAAGCAGAATCTAAATGCACATGTCTTATCGAGTACCCAGTTCTTGGAAATTTCTAAAATGGAACCGGTTTTCGATACCCAACCCTACATCTCGGTGACTTTCATTTGTCTTTTAGGCAGAGTTTAACCCTTAGGCACGCAATACAAGGAAATGAGATTGATGAGAGGCAGATCAACACACAGATTGTACTTGTTTGGTCAGCCTGAAGGCAGATGATGTATGAGAGAAAGAGATAATGGTTGCGCACCAGATTGAGTCGCAGCTTCAAGGCCTCGTGCATCATCTGCTTGGCCTTGCAGTCGTCCTGGTACTGGTCCTCACGCCAGTTAGTCACAATCTGATAGGATAGGAATACATCACATCAGTCCACAGAGATGAGAAGCATTGACTGACAGTGACACGGTGTGTGTTGATGAGGTACCTGCTGGACTTGGCTGTAGAGGGAAGTCAGGAGACCCTCTCTCTGCTCGTCTTGTCCTTTGAGACACGTCAGCACCAGAGAGAGGAAGGGCTGCTGGCTCAGGAGAGACATACTGAAAGAGAAAAGAAAACAAAGGAAATGGTCATTCTTGTTAGCACAGTCACACTTGTAAATTATTGTGATAAGCACAAAACAAAAGGTATGCACTAATAGTTTTTTTTAAGCTTAAACTCATAAGCTGATGATACAGGTGGCAACTTTTTGAGCAATTTTGCCAGGCAACTTTTTTAAGCAATATTTTTTGGGCACTATCCCATTGAGAATGGGTAACAAATTTCTAACTGGATACTTTAGATCGATCATGGGCCCTGTGTCTCACCTGGTTGCCCGTTGACAGCAACACCGCCTAAATTTGCCCGGCAACAATCAGCCTTATTGTTAAGTGCTACAAAATATTAATAAGTTATTTAGAATCAAACCTACACTACTGTTCACAAGTTTGGGGTCGGTAAGAGTTTTAGTGAAACCTTATGTTTCTAGAGGTATTCAAAAGAGGTAAAAACATGTATTTTAATTATTATAATTGATATTTAAAGTACACACAATTTTTTTTTACCTCGTTTGAATACCTATATTATACTGTTATATTTTTATATATGTGTGTGATTAAGTATAGTAGTATGATTGTAAAGACATTTATAATGTTCATCAAAGATACTATAACTAAATCACAGTTCAATATTAAGCAGCACAACTGCTTTTCAAATTGATAATAAGAAATCAGCATTTTAGAATGATTACTGAAGGATCACGTGACACTGATGCTGAAAATTCTGCTTTTCATCACAAGAATAAATTACATTTTAAAATATTTGAAAATGAAAAACATTTTTTTTTTAATTGTAATAATATTTCAAAATATTACTGTATCTTTGATCAAATAAATGCAGCCTCAGTGAGCATAAGAGATGTCTTTCAAAATACAGCCAGTCACAAGCTTTTGAATGGTAGTGAATATTTTACAATGCATTGTGTGTGTGACAGGACAGGGCTGCCTCTCAGAGGGCAGTATACTTTTGTTGCTTACTGTTTAGAACAGGGGTGCCCAAACTCGGTCCTGGAGGGCCGGTGTCCTGAAGAGTTTAGCTCCAACCCCAATTAAACACACCTGAACCAGCTAATCAAGCTCTTACTAGGCATACTAGAAACTTGAAGGCAGGTGTGTTGAGGCAAGTTGGAGCTAAACTCTGCAGGACACCGGCCCTCCAGGACCATGTTTGAGCACCCCTGCTCTAGGCCCATTCACACAAAACCTGCTCCTTGTCCGTGTTATCTGATCTTGGGAATTTCCGCACTAGTCTAAGATCTTCACTTTTATCTCGAAGAGGAAAGGTAGGATTCCGCTTCCTGCTTATAAAGAGTATAACAGCTAGAGGGCTGATCCTGGATTAGGTTTTGCTCTATCTACTA